AGGGGAGGGGAGGTGGTCTGAAGGGGAGTGGGGGTATTGTGAGTTGAACAGCAGAGCCCCACTCTGGCTGAATGGGTATTGTCATCTGGATTTCTATGGCTAACCAAAATACTTTCTCCCGCCGTGGGGGTTGGTTTATGGATTCATGATGGGAACGGCAAGTCTTACACACAGCTATGGAGGGCACTCCTGCCCCTGCAGACCATCATAACTCAGACTTTAGCACTAAAAAAACACTTCAAATGAGGATTATATACAATATATTCAGTTTAATCTTAATAAAATGAAACAGTATTGCATCTTCAGATACATGAATATGGAATCATTACATCAAACATCAATAACAGAAAACAAAGTTTATTTCTGGAAATTGTGAAAAAACAAAAGACTTCCTGCAATGAAGGGAAAAGTTGCAGGTTCTCGAGACTGTAGCCTACACCGCATCTGTTGCACATTTTCATGTCACATATAGGCCAAATCTCCAGAATCTACAGGTCCAAAATAAGAGCAAGCCTCAAAGCCACCCCCCTCTTATTAACTTCTGAGCAAAACAAAAGCTTATCTGAGATTTATGAGGGCTTTGACACAACATTTTACTTTGACATTGTTGTCAATAGTCCCCCTAAAGGAAACTGGTCTTTGAACGCGTGGGAGTGCAAACATTCTCAGTTACTGTACAAGGTTGTGCTGACAATGCACATGAAGGCAAAAGAACAGCCTACATTTTTCGGTGGCTAGAGTTCCTCAATAAAAGAAAAAAAAACAAACAACAACAACATGTAGTTACAGCAGTAAACAATTCAAAATACTAATAATTTCGAGAATTTACAAAGCTGGTACCTAAGAAAGATACTCTTTTTTTATATATACGTCGTGAGCTACCTCCTGTAGTTGATAGTCTTTGTTTAATCTCCTGTAGACAGACACATAAAGGACGTGGTCCGAGCGTATTGAAGGGCCAGTGTAAAAACAATAGAGGTGGTTCCACTGATTTTCAAAGTTCAAATTTATGAAAAAAACAAACAAACTGCTGGTGCAAAGATAAAGTCCGTAAAAAACAGTTTTTTTTTAAAAACCGGCAGGTTCACTATTAGGCGTCACCTCCTGGGAGCCACATAGCTACACATAATTCCTCTTGTCATAGTCCCCGTTCTGCGTGGCGGCTCTTTTGGTCTGTGCGTATTTTACTGAATATCCCGAGTTCCCGCTGGAAGGACAGGAGCAGCACAGCAGCGCTCCTCCGATCAGCAGCAGCGCTGTGGCCGCCCAGCCGATGTAGAGCGCAGCGCCGATCTCCCTCTTCTTGGATGCGGGCACCTGCGGGTTGTAAAAGTCCGATATAATGTTGTTTGCCATCCAGCAAAGGGGCACGAGCACAAACAGGCCACTGAGGATGTAGATCACCCCACCAGCGTTCACCACCCGAGCTTTGACGTACTCAGTGCGGATACAGTTGGTGCACTGTGCCCCCGCAATCACAACCATGAGACCCAGCACTCCCATCACGGAGGAGATGATGGTGAGCGCTCTGGCCGCCTGCAGGTCGTGGGAGAGAGCGAGGACGGAGTCGTGCACCTTGCACTGCATCTGCCCCGTGCTCTGCACCACACACGACATCCACAAGCCGTCCCAGAGCGTTTGAGCCACCACGATGTTGGCTTCGATGAAAGCCGTCACCTTCCACATAGGTAACCCGCACGCAACCATGACCAGGAGCGAGCCAATTACGCACATGGAAAGTCCCAAAATCTCCAGTCCGGCCGACACCATTTTCACTCTTGTTATGTTCAGTCAGGTCCGCGTGAAGGTGCTTAAACTCTCCGCTTGTTTCTCTCCTTGAAAGCAAAGTGCGGTTTTCGCTTTTGTCTTCTTCCTTCTCAACTCGATACAGGAGGGTGAGTCGTTAGTCTCGCATCACTCGTTACGTTTACGCAGAGATGTAAGGCAGCAGCTCCCAGTCTCTTTGTTAGCGAGGGGATGTGAAAACAACTGGAATCACAGTCGCACCGGACCACGAATATCTGCGAGGTGGGGGTGTGTGGACTCGGAGAGAAACTTTCCTCCAATCCGCTGTGTCCGCATCCTCAAGGGACCAATGAAAGCGCAGGGAAGTTGACCGACTGAATAAAGCGGTCCAGAGCGTATTGTGCTTTTGAACAGTTATTTACGATGAATAGAGGGGGCGGGAGAGGGGTGAAGAGATTTTATGGCAGACCTCTGTGTGCGCGTTAACGTTGTGGAACAGCTGAAGTGCAGTGGTGTGATGAATCACGGCACTTGCTATTGATTCTTCAGACATGGAGGATAATGCAACTTGTCTGTTGGGTGTAATTATCATTTCACACCTATTCTCATAGGAATATTATATTTGTCTAACCCATTAGTCAGAAAAGAAGTACAAATCTGATTTTTAAATATGTCCACTTATCTTTGAAGCATTTTTTAGACTCTACAAAAACAAGTACAAGTACAACAAGAGGTTTTTTTTAAATGCTTTTCTTTATTACTGTTGTTTTGTTTTAATTTCACCTTCATCTTCAGTCAATCATTTGCAGTCAACTTGCACTTTTAAATAGCTTATTTTAAGTTCATAAACTATCTACAGCTAATTTTATATGTTTAGTGTTTGGACTGGAGGGTTTGCGCCCAATGACTGCAATGAGTTGACTTTTCCTGTCAAGTGCCCTTGGTGGCGCAGGCAGATTTCAAATTCTAAAAGCCTCACATAGGATTCATACAGTCCTACCAGCACAAAGTGGAATTTTACTCCAGGATATGTTCAGTGTAGCAGGCTTGATTTGAACTTGGGAGAACTTTTAATCTGCTTAAGGTGGTACTACCAAAATATAACTCTCAGTGAAAGAATTGTCTTGGCTGAGGGATTTTAAATAACAAATACAACAAGTAGATAAGTACTTTATTTTTTATAAAAGGACAAATGAATACAAATCAAAATCATTAGTAAATGTGTTACAACACTGTAGGTAGGCCCAGGGACCCACTGGATGACTTCTGAAAATATGAAGAGTGACATCAATTTTGGGTTTTTATTTTTCATTTTATTTTCACAAGTTTTATAGCTTTTCTTCCTGATAAAGAACTCCCTCATAGCCATTCATACAAGACCAAAGTAATTAAGTAATAGATAAACTATTGACCCTGTGCACGAGAAAATGCTAACTTCCTGGTTTGAGACCAGATGTGGGGTTGTACATTTCCGGTAGCTTTACTTTGCGGTCAATCGCTACTGCGAAGATATACTCCAAAATTGATGTCCAAAACTCGAAAACGGAACGATCGCGTTAAGTTACAAAGAGCAGAAGGT